GAACGTCCAGCCACCTTCTGTGCGTCTCTTGTAGCGAGGACAACTTAAATTTAGATTACAGAATCTGCTTTTTCTTTTTTTTTATGGAGGTCAGGGTTTTTGATTGGTAAGGCATTAATATATTCTGGAGTATTACCATTAAGTCTTTTGTAGGTTAAGGTGCAACAATTTACATGACTCGGCATAGAAAGGAATCCAGTTTAAAGTACTGAATATATGAACAGAAGGGGCCATTTTTTCGGCATTTAAAATAATTCTAGCCGCACGTTTCTGAAGACAAAAAAGTTTCTGAAGATTTTCCTTATTACAAGGGGTCCATATCAAACTGCTATAAAGGAACACAGGTTTTATAATCGTGGAGTAATAAATTTCATGTTGATTCCGTTTTAGATAAGGACTTATATGACGAAAGAGACCTATCTGTTTCACAAGTTTTTTGCTTAACTCCTCTGTCTGACGATCAAAAGCAACATTTTTATCTGATGTTATGCCAAGAAGCTTGAAATCAGTGACATTCTCAATGGAATTTCCATTCAAATTAACATCAATTGAAAGAGAGGTAACTTTGTTTCGTAGGCGCCTCCCTGTTACTAGCATGGAACAAGCTGTGAAGAGATGCTCCACTGACTTTTTAAAATACCTCAACACTGTAAAGTGAGAAAGGTCTGAGTTCCAACCCAGGATACAGAGTCATTGTTTTGTGCTTTGGGGTAGTTCATTTCTTTACATTGTTATCAAGAATACTGTCAACTGAAGATAATCTTATAAAAAAACTGCAGTAGAATTGCAATGTTCTAAGTTGATTCACAAGGGGTGTATCTAGGGGAAGGGTGCAGGAGCTCACCTCCCCTGGTAGTTTTTGGATAAAATTTGATTGCATCACCCTTCAGCTACATGTACATTATTCCTTGATGGTGCACCACCTCCTACGGGTGCAAGAGCTCACCTCCCCTGGTAGTTTTTNATAAAATTTGATTGCATCACCCTTCAGCTACATGTACATTATTCCTTGATGGTGCACCACCTCCTAAGGGTGAAGGAGCTCACCTCCCCTGGTAGTTTTTGAATAAAATTTGATTGCATCACCCTTCAGCTACATGTACATTATTCCTTGATGGTGCACCACCTCCTAAGGGTGAAGGAGCTCACCTCCCCTGGTAGTTTTTGAATAAAATTTGATTGCATCACCCTTCAGCTACATGTACATTATTCCTTGATGGTGCACCACCTCCTAAGGGTGAAGGAGCTCACCTCCCCTGGTAGTTTTTGAATAAAATTTGATTGCATCACCCTTCAGCTACATGTACATTATTCCTTGATGGTGCACCACCTCCTAAGGGTGAAGGAGCTCACCTCCCCTGGTAGTTTTTGAATAAAATTTGATTGCATCACCCTTCAGCTACATGTACATTATTCCTTGATGGTGCACCACCTCCTAAGGGTGAAGGAGCTCACCTCCCCTGGTAGTTTTTGAATAAAATTTGATTGCATCACCCTTCAGCTACATGTACATTATTCCTTGATGGTGCACCACCTCCTAAGGGTGAAGGAGCTCACCTCCCCTGGTAGTTTTTGAATAAAATTTGATTGCATCACCCTTCAGCTACATGTACATTATTCCTTGATGGTGCACCACCTCCTAAGGGTGAAGGAGCTCACCTCCCCTGGTAGTTTTTGAATAAAATTTGATTGCATCACCCTTCAGCTACATGTACATTATTCCTTGATGGTGCACCACCTCCTAAGGGTGAAGGAGCTCACCTCCCCTGGTAGTTTTTGAATAAAATTTGATTGCATCACCCTTCAGCTACATGTACATTATTCCTTGATGGTGCACCACCTCCTAAGGGTGAAGGAGCTCACCTCCCCTGGTAGTTTTTGAATAAAATTTGATTGCATCACCCTTCAGCTACATGTACATTATTCTTCAATGGTGCACCACCTCCTAAGAAAAATTCTGGATCTCCTTCTGCTCACAATATAGAAATTAAGAAAAGCCTCCTGCATACAGTTATGGAGCTTAGTCATTCCTGAATGTAGGCTCAATCTAAGAAAAGTTTATATATAGCAATTGGAGAAGCAGTAAGTTACCTAACAAGATCAAGTGGATAAGTTACAATAACAGAAGTTGTCCCAGCCAAACCTCCAGCAACAAGCCGCCTTATAGGAGTCTGGTTCTGAAGATCTTCTGAAACCTTCAGAAGCTATAAATAAAATAACAATAATACTTAGAAATTAGTGCTTTAAAGACAAGCTCTTCTAGCAATATAGACCTGTAGGAATTGTCTATGAGAACTCTACTGGATTGCCCCATCGCTATTTTCCTGAGATGTGAAATTATACTTTTGCATACTCCCAACTTACATACACACTTTCCTTTATAATTCTCTTATAGCGAGTAAACCCCTCAAGACTGTAATTATTAAATATTTGAATATAATACCTTCTTGAATTCTTCATATGAAGCAAATTGTACTGCTGAGTATGGAATAATTCTAAGAACATTTGTTCCATTACCCTATAAAGAGATAATAAGGAGTTTTCACTATTTCATGATTGAAACAACTCCCAATATATTAGATTCTGATCTCAACACCAAAATATAGTTTTGGCACACAGATTCTTAGTTATATAATGAATTAATATCATTAAAAGGTTAAAGAAGCCCAAGGGTTCATAATGTGGGGGGGGGGTATCAGGGTCACCTTTACATGACTTGTCCCTCTCCCCCTAGGTTCCCTCTTCCTCATCCTTCTTCCTCATCCCACTCCCTGACATCCCACTCGCTGACAAATTCTTTCCATTGTTGCTATAAGATATATTCCTCACAGGGCAAGGGGCGTGAGCACCCCCCGGTAGAATGGACAAGGAGAGGGTACACTCATGAGTTAATTTTCCCAGGATACCATCAGCCTCTAAACTTGCTTTCTTGGTTTCCCATAGGCCATAAATGTATATATTGAAATAAATTACGATCACCTTAAAATAACCCTTTAAGCCTTCCTCTCTTCCTATTTTGATCAAAGTTGCACCAACGCCTGAAAATTTTGGATCCTTAACTTGAATCTGTTGAGAAAAAATTAATATTGATACAAGAGCATGCTTTCACCCAAAACTACCTCGTTCTAATCGAATTAATCGAAGCCAACCTGCAGAAGGATTTTCACTCTTTCTAAGGGTGAAACACAAGTTCGTGACAAAGCGCCTGCAACTCCCCCAGATATGACATGTTTGACTTGTTTGCCACCAGGAAAAATTGGCTTTGCCGGCTCATTATCAACTTCTCGCTCGAGTTCTTCTTTGCCCTCCAGGAATTTTGATTTCGATAATCCATGAACATCCTTATCATGCTCCTGGGTTGAATCCTTTAGAACCATATTTTACAACGATGAATTGCATCTTTATTCGTAGATTTCAAAAGTCAAAGGGAACTGCGTTGGCCATCGTATCGTGACTGGAAGTTCGATTCGTTCTCGAATGACGAAATGAAAGTCTAAAATCTCTTTACTTTCCTTTGACCAATCAAAACAAGCAATAGTTTTGATACTTTAGGCCAATCAGAAATGGCGATATGAAATTCCCGTGATGCATTGCTAATTATTGCTATGGAGGCAAGATAGTATACGAGCTAAGTTTGAAAAAAACAACAGTAAAAGATTTCAACTTGTCAACACAAGTAGGGGAAATCATGCCAGGTAACCTTTCGAAGAGAAACAGTTTTTATTGCAGTTTCTTAGAAAAATATCTCAGCTACCGACTGAAGGACGGTTTCTGCAGGATTAACTTCGATCAAGACTATCTGTGCTAGCATACGCTGGTTGTACGAAAATTACTTATTGTTATTGTTGTATTGTTTTGTTTTAATTCTCTGGTCTTTGTATTTAATAGCTACGACGAAGAAGTCAGCGAAAAAAGGATCAAAGGTGGATGCTGGTAAAGACCAAGTTTCACATGTTCAGGGATTGTTTGTTTGTGTGCAGATGAAGTTTTTTCTAAACCCTTTCACAGAACATACATACATACGTACGTACGTACCTACATACATACAGACAGACAGACAGACAGACAGACAGACATACATACATACATAGGTTAATTGACCATTCCCCATAGGGCTTTTCAGGGCCATTCAAACAAATTCCTGATCATTATGTCATTTAAGCTGTAGAATAGTAATTTTTTCCGATATCTTTGTATTCGTTGTCTTACAATAAATCTTTTTATTGTATTTATCAGTAAATTTTACTTTTTCGAGAGTTTACTAAGTTTCTAACTTTCAATATACTGCTGTTGTTTTACTTGTATTTTTTCAATATACTGCTGTTGTTTTACTTGTATTTTTTCAACCTCAGGTGCAACAACATTAAGTGGTGTGTACATGTTTCCTAATGGAGATAAATATGGTAAGTATTGCACTTGGTTAGCTCAGGTTATAGACTGCCAGACTGCTGTGCAGAAGGTGGAGATTTCAAGCCCCAGAATTTACCAACACTCAGGATCTTAAAATAAATAAGGAGAATTTACTAGTGGGTAGGCATTCACTGTCTTCTCAGATAAGCTTTGTCTCAGAGAGGTTCCTGTCTCCTGCATCTTCTCTCTACTGGTTTGCAGGGGACATTTAAGTGCCCACACTTTTCTTACATGAGTAGGGAATAAAGCTCCTGGTGTTGGGGTTTGGCCTTGCTACTGTTTATAAAGGCCCCAGTTTAAACCAGGTTTCAAGCTGAACTTGGCAAACCTGTCTAAACATTGCAAATTAATTTTAAAGAAATGGAATAAATTGAGTTGTCTTTTTATTATTAAGTGACACTGATCATCAGATAAAAGATACGGCTTTCATCTGTGAAATATACAAGGCCAGTTCTGTAAACAAAATTTAGCCATTATTTAAGAAAACCACATTCTAAGCCATTGTCAAGTTAGCTGAACCATTTATCTGAACATTTATTTTAAATATTTGTGAAGAGTATCAAGAGCGGGCCAAAAGCTAATTGAGAAAGGACATTTATTTTATTCAATCAACCCTTTATCTGAGAATTTCCTGTGACCCAGTTCTTGTGTAAAACCGCAGTTTGGGTTAAGTATACCTCATGTAAATAACCAGCCTACAGAGTTTAAATAGTACCTCAATTTAATCATTTCTTGTATTTTGATAATGTGTACTTCCAGATTACTTTATCAACCCCAGTTACTTTCCTTTGAATATCTTGTTACTTCATAAATTTTGTACCCTTCTTTGAAAGCACAGTGGTTCAAAATAGCCCAGGCAACATTGAAATTGGCTTCCTTTTCAGATGGTGAATACATTCAAGTTGGGGAATGCTTACAGCGTCAAGGTTACGGTACCCATACAACAATTGATGGACTTACTTACCATGGTAACTGGAGTGGAGACAAGATGAATGGACAAGGTGAGTTGTTGAGGAGTGAGGACTTATTTTGTCTTTTAAACACGAAGGTGCGCTATAAAAGGAGCCTTAGGTCCCACTGGACCATTTGTCAATCAACCGTTGTGTGATTTAGAACTCTTAGAGTCAAGTCANGAGGGGCTAACGCTCGAAATGTCAGCTTTTGTAATCGTTACGGTGGCCAATTTACCATTTCAACTTTGTTGATATATCCAAATTATTTCGTTACTCCCACCGACGCAGCCCCAAACAGTTTCTTTTGAAACTATCAGCCTTTATTATTGTAAGTACCATAAATGATTGGTAAACTTGGAAGCATGTATTCAACTCTTATTGTTTCCATCGCACAGTAAATTGTTTATTCAAGGCAGTGTTTATTTTAAAGTTCTGTTTACTTCTGTCAAAACAATTTTTGTTAACTCACTGATAACAATTACGGTATACATGTAACATCTGTTCTGTAACAGATCAGAGATGATGTCAGAAGAAATGCAGAAGAAAGAAGAAGTATAATCATTTTATGTAATTTTAATCTCACTCATAGGGAGAATTTGGCAACAATATGTTTCATGGATTCGGAAAGTACACTTGGCCTGATGGTTCTTATTACGAGGGAAACTTCAATGAGAACAAGTAAGCATTCTGAGAGTTGAGATTAGCAGATATCTTGGTGTCTCTTAAACTAAAAAGGAAAACTTTGATGTTTTTCTCTTCAGTTATGGCATAAAACAATGGGAAGGAGGAGGAAGAAGCCCTTGGGAATAAGCCCACAGATTTTTTTATTTATTCCCTTGAAAATTTTTAGCCTGAATTTCAGCAGCCTCCTCCACTCACTAAGTCACTTGGGGAGGGGGGCGTCTGAAAACACTGGGCGTTAATGCTGTCTGATGATGTCACTACCCAAAAACCTGGCAGTGGTTCTGATTGGTTGCCGTGTTAATTTATTTGCATGACTCGAATAATTTGAATAATTTTATTGCCTGACTTTGCGCGTTTAAGAATGGGAGTAAATGCTGAAGGAAGGTTTTTTAAGCTTTTTCACTGGAGTGCTTGTGCGAAGGGGAACAGGTAATTAGTCAGCTGTGTGCTTGGATGAGGAAAGACCGGCATCGTCAATGGTGTATTAGTGCCGAGAACCGGTGTAGTGGACAATGTGTTTGGGTTCGGTTTCAAAGTCGAGACGTCGAAATGTGGCTTCTTAATGATTGCATGGGAAATAAATTGAAGAACCTTGGTCCACAACGTTTGGACCCCTCTTCAGAGAGCTTCTCAGCAAGCTTTTAATTTCTTCGGCAGACTTTTCCAGGTTTTCTTTAATCCTTTTAATAATGTTTCTGAAGTTTTCTAACACAAGACTTGCAGAGGTAGCTGTCTTTCGATAATGGCACATTGAATTTGTGTAAGTCCTCCATAAAATTCTTGGTTTTCCTGCAAATCGCATAGCAATCAATGGGCTCCAAAATAAATTTCCTGCAAATTTCACAGTTGATCGAACAGCTTTGTTCTTTTGGAATGTTTGATATTTGCAAGGCCATTACCTGCACATGCAAACACAGAACACGCGTGTTTTTCCAAAAATTGCATAAATTACCACATTCAATAGGTGACGTCACCGGACAGCATTAACACCCAGTGCTTTCAGACGCCTCTCTCCCCGAGTGACTTGGCGAGCGGAGGAGGCGGTGGAAATTCAGGCTGGAAAATTTGGGCTGAATTCGTTTAATCAGATTTCAGTTTTACATTGAAGAAATTGGTTAATAGCTGTGTTTATTTGTCCAGTGTTATCTGGTCAGCCAAAAATGTGAAAATGTTATGGGACAGTATCTTAGAGTCCACGAGCATTAGGTACTAGTTACTTTAGAATTTCTTCAGATATTTTCTAATGTCGCATATTGTTTTTCTTCCTGTTACAGACTTGAAGGTCAGGGAACATTTACAGATGTAAAATCACAAGTCTGGTATGGGAACTTCACACACATGGCTGCTCCTGGGCTCAAGTTTAAACTGTGCATGTAGAATATCTCACAAATTTTGATGCAGCAAGATGTAAATATGTTATATATAGACTTTACTGTAGATATTAATTCATGGCAATAAATCACTTTTTAGTTTTCTTTTGAAACTGACTCTGTTGTCCTTTGAATCGACACATTTAAATGATGAAGGTGTAACAGTATGTGGTAAATTGATTTGGTAGTAGAGAGCTCAAATTTTCTCCTTGTCAGGTTACCTTAAGTTGAGGAAGTGGTTTGATGGCAGCATGCAACCTGAGCAAGTTATGGATGCATGTGGGAGGTTGCTAAGCACAAAAGAAGCAAAAGAGTGGCACCAAGTGCAACTCTAGCTTCTTGAGTGCATCACAAACCTCCCTAGTGCATTCATAACTCAATGGTTGCATGCTGAATGCCAACCATTTCTATTGTAACATGAGACTTTCGAACATCTTTCATTTTGTGTAATAAAAAAAAAAAGCAAAACATACTGGTGTCATCATGCAACCCACGCACAAATGAGCAAGTTTATTCACCAATCAGACGGTACCTGCTTTTGTAAAGCAATGTTATAAATTATGTTAAGCTTAAATTTGTTTCTCTTAGCCTTTCAGAAAGGATGCCAGTTCACTCTAGGTTATCTCCTTCCCAAACATAAATAATCTCTGGCATTTTGACAGGTGTTCCTGAGGGTTCATGGGCACTGATCATTTTATACTTAATTTGCCCATTACAATTACCCTAACCAAGGTTTAAACCAGGACATTTAAATCTTAGCTTACGGCATGAAAACCAGTTAGAGTCTGATCTTCCACATGAAGTAGGTTGGGTTCTTAGCTAGTCTTACTGTCTTATAATAATTATAACAAATCTCTACCCTGTTCAAGCTCCCAGTTAGACGGTCGACAAACAATGAATACAACCAACACCCTCAAAAATTGAATTGAGAATGGAAGCACCAGGGATTTTTATGAGTATTTCAGATTTTTCACTTTTAATTTAGATACTAGATAGGTTAATCCTATCTGGGGCTTATCTTCAGTGTAATATCCACAGCTGACGTAAAACAAAGAAAAGAAAACATCCTTAACAATGAACCCTAACAAAAGTCTATAAACAAAGAAAACGAATAAATTATATTACACCGTGGATGACCCCCCATTATGGTGTGTCACGCAACGTTCCCTTATACTCAAAAGAACTGCTGCGAGGGAGCCGTTGATCTCTTTTTGCTTTGTCTGCTAGAACTGTTCTCTTTCCTGGGAAATAAGATTTTTAACAAGAGAGGAATAGTTGTACTTTTACCATAGTCTCGTCTCTACTTTTTCCTTCGAACCTTGGCGATACATTTCTAGTATCCAAGTCCTTGGTGGTGTTTAGCACCTACAGGAGACTGGAATCAAGCCTTCTTTCTGGCGAACAGACCTCCGCGGTTTCTCTCCGCTGCTGAAATCATCATACAATTCAACATACATAGAAGTTTGCAATTGTCTATAGTAGAGGAAGAGTACTTAGCATTTGATATCAATGTTGTAAAGTTTTCCAATTTCCTTTATCAGTATCATGCCGGCTATTCATATCGCCGTACATCCTTTGCCGGGAACAGTGGAAGAGCTACACGAAAGGTACCTTGAACCGATTTTGCGATATGCGTTTATTTCGGTGCTTTTTTAATGAGGGTGTACTTGTTTGTCCGCTAATCCTTGTATGAGCGTAAAGATTAAATATTATTTCGCCATTAAAACCCTTTCCCTGTTTTAATTTATAGGCTTAAGGAGGTTTCAGAGTCAAAGGAAAAGAGTGGTTTTCTGAGGTAACATTTTGGTTACGAAAGTACTCAATACATGACTCGTTTAGATAAAAATGGCGAACAAAAACGTGCTCTGTATGTTTTTTTAAAAATATAATCTTAGGTTCGGTTTGGAAGTTATGTTGCTCGAGGTGATTTCTACACTTGATTCACGTTCACGTGGTTTCATATGAGTTGTTAATTGTTGTCTGATTTCTTTCCTTCCGAACTGAAGTTTAAAAAAAAAGTGCATATGCTTTCTTTTCGTTGCACATGTTTTAGGCCGGTAAACCTTCTGGACTTCAAGTAGCTTACAGCTGTACTTGTAGTACTCTTTATGTGTTTATACAAGCTCTCTTAATTGTCCTAGACTTATTTTGTGTCTGCAATGTGTTTACATTATTATTAAGCGTGCTATAAAAACGATTCAACTGTTCTGAAATTAGCACTCAAATAACCACAGATGTGGTTTAACACAAACAGCATACACGTGAAAGGTGTCCACTTTCCTATTTTTTTCAAACGTGATCGTTTTTCGTGTAGATACTCGGAGTTCGCAAGTGATGAGAGGTAGCAAAATTTAATTAAAGCCAGCACGATCAAAATCGCCTTTGCTGTGAGTGTGGTCGAAGGCCGTCTTACACAGTGTTAATCTAAAGTTGTGCAACACTCTCTGTGCTTGTGTGTTTTCTATAAATGCAAAGAAACTAGATATGCTAAAGGAAGTAAACACTGTATAAGGGTGTGTGAGATAAAAGCAAAGGTATAACAGAGATGGGATATTGCAGACACTCTCTTAGAAACACTTTTGTCAACCCCTAAAGAAGTCAACCTGTGTGTTTTCTAAGAAGTAAGCTAGATTTTCTCTGGGTTTTGTTTTTGCATCAGGAAGGGGAAAGGGATGTAAATACTGCTGTCCAATTTATCAAGTCTTTTTTATTTCTATTTTTTGTTTATCAGTTCTCCAGTTCTTCAAGCACTCAAGGATCAAGTGATAAAAGAGTGTGTGGTTGGACCAAGACATGTTGCATTTCTTTTGGAGGTCAGTAATAAATACAGAGTTTTCTTTAATAAATGTTGCATCAGGATTGTGTCTTCTCCAGAGGCACCAGCATCCAGCGTTTTCATGGCACACCTGTTTATGAAATGCTTACTGCTTGATCCTTTAACTCTGGAACTAAGACAGAATTTCTCTCTACAATACTTAGTTCTTATTAACTGAGTGGGAGGTCTTTATAGGAGAATCTTGACAGAGGTCGCCAGTACAGACCACGCCAGTACAGACCGAACGCAGTGAGGTCTGTACCAGCGACCGAGGTCAAGATTCTCCTATACAGACCGACCTAGCTTGGTTAATAAGATGTTTATTATATGGCTGTGTCTTATATGCCAATTTTTAAATTCTTTGTACCTTTTTTTTCTAGACTGGTCTAGATGCTGGTCTGAATGGGAAAATCTAGACCGCTTTCAATATTGATTTCAGCCAATAAAATTCGTGAATTTACTAGTTCCCAGTCCTTGTGAGACACAGCCATATAATACCAATGTAATATCAAGAAGCCAAGTGATGAGATTATAAAAAATATCAGTTAGAGGATTATTAATACCATATAGGATTATATGGTAGATGGTAAGGAGATTTAATATTGAGATCAGGAGGTATAAGGGTCAACACAAGGAAAATCAATGCGAACAGAATATATTCTCATGCACAATGAGCAAGCACTTGCTTTCTAGCTGGTAATGTTTTTTTTAGGCAGTAAGTGGTTTTACCTCAGAGTAACATTTGATCATGTACTCTGATTCTCTGGATGAGAGTAGTCTTAAGGACTTTTAATTATTTTGGTGACTGATGGTCTGACAACTTTATAGAAATTCCTTATCAAAGTCAAGTGAAGAGTTGTTGTTAGTAAAGTGTTTTAAGTCCAGGTCACGTAAACTGAGTGGTCCGTTTTGCCATGGTTCTATTGGTTCTAAGACTTAGATAGGCCACATCAGTTGTGGTTAGTTAGTTTTGATGGGTTGGTTAGGATGAGTAGTAATATTAATACTGTTGGTTAAGTCGGGCTACAAAATTTGAGGTTCACTGTGGTGGCTCTGTAGGTTTTTTTCTGTCGTGTGAAATTTTATCCAGTTTACATGTTAGATGATAGTGGGATCAAGGTAATACTACAGTGCTGATTAAGTACAACTTTAGCAACAAGTGTGTTCTGTTTTAGAATGGACAAGTTTGCCGTGTTCCTTTCACTCTTCATCCAGACAAGCTGGATCTGTCATCCAGAGATATAACTGCGTAAGTATTTTGACCAAGATTCAGGAGCAAAATGCTAAAAAAATTACTCTAACTTTATTTTCCTGGAGGAAGTACTAAGAAGTTTTTATTTGAGAGCTAATGATTATATGCAGGTGTGCTTGTGTATTTCAAAGTTCTTTGTAGAGAATTAATTGCTGGAAACTTAAAAAGTCAAGCTTACATGTAGAAATGGTCAGGTTGAAGTGATTTGTATTATCCTGTATAAGTTATTGGTGCATGTAGAAGTCACAGTTTGTTTGGTTTTGTCTCTGCAGGGAAGAAGATAACAGCAATACTGCTGCAAGGTCTGCATCTCATATAGTTTTACATGCAGGTTTGTTTGATTTGCAATCATTGTCCTAGTCCAGCAAGCCCTAGCAGTGATCAGGATTAATGTTTTCCTCTAGCAGTGAATGAAGTCATAAGAATATCTTAGATAACCACTATAGAGAAATTGCTGTAATCTCTAACAAATTCTGACAACAGCTGTTATGAGGAATTATGAGGGTAGTGGTTAGGAGAATTTTCACTTGTTAACTTTTGCTTTTGGGTAGCAGAAATTAAGAGATAAGGAATGTGTGAGTCAGCATATACTGGATCATTGGGTAATGGGTAATTCCTTTTCTGTTGGCAGTTGGTGGTGGAAGTCGGGGTCAAGGTGAAAACTCCTGGGTCCTTTCAAACAGTGGAGAAACTCTCAGCGGTCTCACAGGACACCCAGTTATCAGGTATTCATAAATTTATCTTTGCACAGGGCTGTCCTCCTCAAGGGCTGTAACAATAATACAGACTTGTATACACAATTTATCTTTTATGAGCTCTTTTGTATCAACCTACACATCACATGTGTGTATGTGTGTGTTTGTGGAGGCCGGGTGGGGCAAGACATGTCAGATTATTTTCTGGCAGTTGGTTATTTCAAAAGGGTGCAGTACTCTCCAGGTTTTATCAAAATGAATGGTTGGCTTGAGGGAGGAAACCTTCTGTAACCATAATGAATGATAACTGTTTCAAACCATATCTCATGCATTCAATATATAAAGATTAATTTTCCAATACATTGTTTGATTTCTTTTTCAGTCGTTGGGGTTCAGCTCCATCAGCCATGTCATTAAGGACATCTGCTCGTGCACCAGTGCGTGGGCGTGGCCGTGTTGTACGGAGGGGTGCGAGAGGGGGAGCATCTGGCTGGGCGATAGGCTCTCGTGTTGTACCGGCAACAGCTGTCCCAGAAGAACTTGTCAATCAGGTAAGTCACTTGTCTGTTCCTTATTGCTGGTTCGTTTGCTCATCCTAAGATGTATCATAGATGGTTAAAAATTTTGTATTGAATATTTCAATGTGTTTTTCTCTTCAGGCTCAAGTTGTGCTTCAAGGAAAATCAAGGGCTGCCATCATCAGAGAGCTCCAGAGAACAGTTAGTTTCCTCTGTCATATGTATTTATTGCACTCCTAAAGTTCTGCTATTATCAACTTTTTTTTGACAAGTGCCATGGCTTTTCTGTTAAAGAGGGACCTGCCCAGAGTGTAGTAATAGGGTCAGTTAGACTGACAATAAACTTTGAGTTGCCTGTAGTTAAGGAATGATAAATGATAAGACTTGCAGGCAAGGGTTCAAATTTGATTTAATCAGGAGGGAGAAGAAATTAGGCATGTTTATTTGTATCATATCAGGGATTCTACATGTAGCATTATGTGCTGGTGCGGACCCGCATAATTTGTCAAATAAATCAATATATAATTATGTTACCTATCTTGGTGTCTGGCTTGAGTATTGTATTTATCCTTTTTCTACAGTCGTACAAAATACCAAAGTATCATTTTAAATGACAAAACAACCACATGGATACGAAGCCATTTTGTTTTTATAAAAACGACGAGGCGTTAATAAAAATGTCAAATGAGGGCCTGGAACCGATATGAAGCTCAACCCAGGTTCCAGCATTTGGCAGTTTCCAAGATGGTGGACGTTTACAAGAATTGCTTTCTGTTTTGGCCATATTATTGCTTTTATTGGAAGGAGTCATTTATCAATAATGCGCAGTATTCCATTTTTTTATACAAGAAACTAACTGAGTTTTCTAAGCGAAATTAATTATATTTTAGGTTTAAAGCAATGACGTCTTCGCGCATAATTTCGCGCATAATTAGCATTTTTTTGCATAATTGTCCCTAAAAATCCCACATAATTTTGATTTTTTTTTCGCACATAATGCCAGAATCCCTGTCATATGCAATCTATTTTTAAATTCCTCTTTTAATATTTATTTGCAACTGTGTTTCAGAATCTTGATGTGAATTTGGCAGTGAACAATCTCCTCAGCCGAGATGAGGATGATGGTGATGACGATGATAACCCTGAGTACCTTCCTGGAGGTGAGATTTGCACTTGAGGCTTTTTTTCAATGATCTAATTTCTCTGAAAAATAAATCACTAAGTGCTGTTTGTCACTTTTTCTCCCAGATGACCTTATGTCCTTGCTAGATGCCGGTGTACATGTGGATGATCCATCTTTTGTTGTGGATCCAGAGGCAATATTTTCAGAGGACATGTTTTACAGCTCACAGTATGGAACAATTCATCGACGTCCTAACAGTAGTGCCAGAGCTTCCAGAACTGTAACAGAGAGAGAGTCAGAGCGTGAGAGGGAAAGAAGTAGGGAGAGGGAAGCACTGAGGAGAGAGAGGGACCGATGGCTTGGGAACATCCATGGAGGGGGTCTGGACTGTGCAACATCAGGCAGTGCCCCAAAACAACCATCTCAGGATAAGGTACCTTCACAGAGTTTCTTGGCAGATCCTGTGAGTGTGGCAGATCTTCTCCAGTGGTGGCAACCAGCCATGGTAAGAAAAAACATCTCATTTCATGATTGATTTAAAGAAATTTTCTCATTTGGCAGTAGCTCATCCAAAGGAGTATAGTGATAAAATGTAGCAATATCATCCTTCATCCACAAGAAACCAGGACAAGCTCTGTACAGTGTTTTTACCCTCATTGAATAAAGTCATCATCATCATGATCATCCTTTGGCTGTAATGGACCATGTGACATGTAAAAATTTCCTCTCTTAAATATTTCCTTTATTCCTGCAGGATGGCATTTTCCCATGCTTTACTCACATTGCTGCCATGTATTCAGAGCTGATATGTGTGGGAGCTGATGGAAAGCTGTATCAATGGAAATGGGAAGATCCGCTTCCTTACAAAGAACAAGATGCAGCAATATATCACCCTAGAGTCAGGTCTCTTGGTCTTGCAGATGAGAAGGTTGTGATGGTATCTGCTTCCTCTATAAGGGCATCTGTCCTTACAGAGACCGGAAAGGTATTTAGAACATATTCATGGCTCCCTGACTGACATGGTTATGACAGAGGTTTCCTCATTGGTCCCACATGTATCTAGTTCTTGTTACACTTGTGTTAATGTCAAAAAGAAAACCTTGTTTGTCCTTGGGAGAAGTGGTTGCCCAGTGTGTTGGCATGCTTCAGATATCTAACTGGTTAATTTATAACGTGTTATTGGAAAGAGCACCCTAGTCTCGCCAGGCCTCTCCTTCCCCAACAGTACTAGATGGTACTGGTTAATGATTGATTAATATGATAATACTGTTTCCCTGTAGGTTGCTACATGGGTTGATGAAACCCTCAGCTCCATTGCCAGTAAACTGGAACATCCCACCCAAGGATTTTCAGAGTTTTCTGGAGATAAAGTTGTAGCAATCCACACATGCTCACTTTACACTTGTGCCCAAATGTCATCTGGAGCCTTGTACTGGTGGTAAGTATCTGCTTCTACTTCAAAACAATTAATTCAAAATCACTTCAGTTAATAGAATTTTTTTAATGATCAATACATATCATTTTCACAGGGGTGTACTACCATTTGAGCAGAGAAAGAAACTGTTGGAAAAAGCTCGTGCCAGGGCAAGAAGAAATCGCACAACCTTTACCAGTTGCATTGTGCGTGGTGTTCAGGTAATGTGATCCTTAGCGCAAACACTCGTACAGCATGTGTTGCTGTGATACTTGTGGATAAAGGTACATGTATCTATGTCTCAACACTTAATCTTCTATTAGTGACCAAAACAGGGAGAAACTTTAGTTGCTTGCCATATTGAATGTCCATTTGTATGTCTTTAAAGTGTGAAAGTTGATTATACAACCTAATTTCCATTGTTATTTTATCATCAGGTCTGTTTGCGTAGCTGTCCTCTGTATCATCCTGGCTCTATTGGTATCAACATCTCCTCTGGCATTCCACGTATGGGACAGTTGTTAGAATCAGCTTGGAATCTAGATGAGAAGTGCCGTTTTAAAGTCCTTCCACTGGGAAATGAGGAAGCAAGCTGTAATCCACCAGTTCTAGATGAACAAGACAGTGATATTCCAGGCTCTCTTGGCTTAAGTGAGTTGCTTGTCGCAACATTTTCAGAACATGCACAGAATTTTATGATTTCAATTTTTTTGCAACTTTGAAATTCCTGTAACCAAAATGCAAGTTGCACAATAATTTACTTCAAGTTCATTAGCAATTATTTCTAATTCTATTTTCAGAGCGGAAAAAGGATCCATCATTAGATTCTCCAGAAGATAAATCAGTTCAGGATTGGGATTTGAAGGATGTTATCTTTGTAGAAGATAAACGGAACATACCTGTGGGAAAGGTGCTTAAGGTAAACATCCAAATAGCGCTTGTACATGAGATGTATCTGGCTGAGTTGATTGCAATCATATAAAAATATTGACTGAAACAAGAGCAATACCATAAAATCTTTGCCCTACCAAACTTTGTGTATTTAATGATTTTGTTACATTTTAATTTGTTAGGTGGATGGACCTTATGCTGCAGTTAAGTTCCCACCCAAAGACACTTCCCTTCATGCTGCAGCTGCTATGTTGAATGAAGAAAATATGTCTCTTTTACAAGATGTGCGGCTTCTGCGCAAGGATGAGCTTCAGGTATGTTGCATCTTGTGATGTTGTTCAACTCCCAAATATTGAACAGCCACTATAACAAAAATTTCCAAAGGCATAGTTTTAGCTAGTGACGTGCGTGTATGTAAATGAGAACAACATTTTTAAAATGATCTTACAAGTGTACGTTTTGGCAGTGGCTTGTCTCATTTCTCCATTTGCTAGGTTGAATTAGAATTTGTAGGATTGGTATTTGTGGGGGAATTTGGAAAACAGAGAACATAGTGGAAAGTGCTGGAAGCAAGGTCACAAGTGAATCTCCATTAATAGTTTAAACATGTGTGTATGGCATTAGGTTTGAAATATTTTATTTGCTTTATCGAAGCTGGTCAAGTCATCTGCAGCCAATAAGATTCCTGATTGTATTCAGCGGACACCAAAGTTGTTGTCTGTTCCATTAGGCACCAAACCTCTTGCTGTAACTGTCAACTGTAAAGGTACATTCAGTTTGCAAGCTCTTGTTTACTACGATTTGTCCACCTTGCACTGTTGTGTATTTCTCAGTATACTATATTCTTCTATGGCAGGAGTTCATGTGATGTTGAAGACATCAACTGGTGTTCGCTACGCTCTCTACAGCTTGGCATCTTCCAAACCAGAACCTGGAGGAACAATGCCTAAAGACTGTGCAACATTCCTCAGTCAGCCTGGAGTGAAAGATATTCAGCTATATCCAACTGGAGATGTAAGGAATAAGTTGTGTGTACATGTTGGTTGCTTTTAAATGTGTCAGCTTCTGAAACCAAGAGACGTCAATTGGGTTGTATATATAAGGGAATGAGCAGTATGCCGCTGATTGACTATAAAATATTGCACTCAATGATATGAGCTGTTTAGTCCTTAAAATCAGTTTGCATATTCTCCATACTGTCCTTGTTACATTTCCTATGTTACAGACAAGGAGAGCTTGTTAAGGTGGTGATCATTTCCATTATTACACGACTTGGGCAGTCAGAGGGCCAATAACTAAATCAACCAATCAAAATGCTCTATTGCTGGTCCAATATTCTCCAAGTATTGGACTGGGCACTGTCCTGAATGGTCCCGAATGATACCACACTTGTGTCCCTTTGAACTTCAGTCGTATAATAAATCTCTCATTAACCAAGCTTGCTCAGGACCGTACTGGAAGAATATCGGCCCTCGGTCCTTTTTGTACGGACTGAGTGCAGCCAGGTCCGTACTGTCAAGACCTTGGGCCGATATTCTCCCAGTGCGGCCCTCGCACTTGGTTAATAAGGTACATATATTCTCATCACTCTAAGTGTCTGATTCAGCGGTGATGCTGTACAAAGAAATCAGATGTTAATCATTGTTGAAGGTAGAAGGGTTATTTCTTCTCAATAAAGGGGGTAAGTTTCTAAAGAAACTGTGGTGCTGCATCAGTAGGGGAAACAAGGTAATTTGGTAATATCAACTAAGTTGAAATTGTAAACTGGCTTCTGTAAAGAGTTAAAAAGCTGATGTTTTGAGTGTTAGCCCTCTTCAGAGCAAGTAACGAAGGGCTAATGTGCGAAATGTCAGCTTTTAACTCTTTAGGTGGCCAATTTACAATAATTTATTTCAACCTAGATGATATTACCAAATTGGCATATTTCTTCTCAAACAACCACATCCCTCAAAGCTTCAAGAAAAGCATTTGTGCTTCACAGGGTGTTAGAATGCCAA